GTTCTCTCAAGAGCACTGCTCAGTCAGAGCTCTCGCAACCCTATCTACCTCACAGGGTGTCTGTTGTGGGGAGGGGAAGGGAAGCAGATTGTAAGCCACTCTGATACTCTGAATGAAGGGCAGGGTATAAATTCAACTCTTCTTCTAAACAGTCCTAAAGCTCTAAATAGTCTGGGACCGGCATACCTTCAGCGTATCTGTTGTCCACTAAGCCACCTTCTTGGTGGCTGCCTCTGCCCTCTGGAACCAGCTCTCTGAGGAGGTTCATGCTCTGCAGGATCTGTCAAGGTTCCGTAGGGCATGCAAGGCTATCTTGTTTTGTGCAGCGTTTAATTAACCAAGGTAATGTGTGAGCTGACTTCCTGCCCCGATTTGTTTCAGAGCTGATGACCAGTTGAAGTTTAATCTGTTTTTATTGTATTTATTTGCATTTATAGGTTTTATTACGTTTTAATGCTATGTTATATATCCTGTGACCTGCCCAAGTCCTCTGGTGAGAGGGTGCAGATTATAAATCATAAATAAATGTCTACATGCCTCCCGCCCCCAAGATGCCTGCCATTCAGAACCCCTCAAAAGCCCTGGCAAACCAGCAGGCCTTGCGGCACCTCTTGGAGGATCTCCAAGGAGAGAGGGTCACCCTCACCTTTCCAGGGCGCCCGTTCCACAAAGCTGGAGCCATGATGGAAAAGGCCCAGGCTCTGGTCGACGCCAGATAGGGCCCACCCCCCACCCCCCAAGTGGTGGGATAGCCAACAGATGGCTGCCTGATGATCGTAGTTCGCACACAGGGACGTATGGAAGGATATATTTATCCCCTACTTTTCTCCTCAATGGGGACCCAAAGCGGCTTACATCTTTCTCTCCTCTTTTGTTTTATTCCCTCAACAACGAACTTGTGAGGTAGGTAAGGTGGAGGGGGGGGGACTGGCCCAGCACGCCTCTATGGCACAGTGAGGATTTGAACCTGGGTCTCCAAGATCCTGTTTTGACACTAATTACTTATACCATGCTGGCTCTGAGTTCACTCAGAGTGGTTTTTTGTTGTATTATGGCTATGAGTCCGTGATCCAGCCATGCCATGTGTTTAGTTGTCTCCCATTTAAATTCATATTTAAATCTGAACACACAAAGCTGCCTTATATTCAATCAGACTATTTTTTGTTTATTTTATTGGACTTATGAATTGCTCACCCTGCAAGCAGGCTCTGGGTGATTTACAACCTTGTAAAATGTTCGAAATACAATCAATATATAATTAAGTTTACTAACAGTAAATAATTTAAAACCAATCCAAGATGGTAATATAATAATCCCCCTTTGCTGGCCCCACTGGTGGACCTCCTGATGGCACTGGTATTTCTGGCCACTGTGTGATACAGAGTGTTGGACTGGATGGGCCTTTGGCCTGATCCAACATTGGCATCTCTTATGTTCTTATGTTCTTACTGCTGTCCGGCAGGGCAGGGCAGGGAGGGGTATGTGGAGACCATAGAAGAGAAAGGGAGGGTGCCAGTCTTAACCTACCATTGCTCCTCTCAACGAAAAGCCCGGTGGGACATCCCTGCCTTATAGGCCCTGTGGAATTGCATCAGATCCTGCAGGGCCCTGATGTTATTTGGTGGAGAATTCCACCAGGTCGGGGCCAGGACCGAAAAGGCCCTGGCCCTAGTCAAGGACAGCCGGACCTCCCTAGGGCCAGGGATCACCAAAAAGTTATTAGCCGCTCTTAGCATTCTGGGGACATACTGGAGGAGACGGTCCCGAAGGTACGTGGGTCCCTGACCGCTCAAGGCCTTGAAAGTCAACACTAACACCGTGGTCCGGCAATGTCAGTGTCTACTCAGACTGGCAGCAGCTCTCCATGATGTCAGGTAGATGTCTTTAATGTCACCTATTGCCTGATCGTTTCAGTTGGAAATTCTGGGGAGTGAATTTCGGGCCTCCTGCATGCCAAGCAGATCCTCTGCCACTGAGCCACAGCCCCTCCCCAGATGGTTGGCTAATGCCCTGTCTGTTTTGGCTTTTAGCTCTTTCCAGGAGGTCTTTGTTCAAAGCAGCATTGCTGAACCATTGAGTTATTTCTGCCACTTAAGATTAATTCTAGCACATTATCAAGTGTGACCTCCAAGGAACAAATCCTGTTTGTACTCCACATCCAATTTATTTTATTATATGCTCTGGAATGGACAAATCCTTTCAGCATGAAGCTTCTATCTGTCGCCCAGTTATCTGATTCCAATTCTGTCAGGTCCCTGGCTGCTGGGACTTGAAAAGTCTCTGGAAGGCCATTTGTAATGCAGAATGACAAAGCCAGGAGCTGGAGCGATAATCTTGGGGAAATTCTATACATATAATTCGGTGGCTCAGCAGAAAAATAAAGTGATTAATGAGCTCTGAATGCGTAGCGCGTGATGCATAGTATTAATTACTGCAGAAGGGTGAACAAGACAAACACCAAAATGATGGCTAAGATAGACTAAATGCAGAGAGAGGAGACCTGTACAGATGGGTAAAATATGTTGAGAATCCGATATTTGAGCTATAATCACTTTCAACAATGGCCTGCATTTCAGCCAATTTGTACTGGGCATACGCAAAGGGCACGAAAAGACAATGGACTTAAAAAGGATGTGGCTTAGTATTTAGAATGCCCCTGATACAGCTTCTGTGTTCATTTTCACACCTTCACACAGGGAAAGCCTTTCCCCTTTGCTCTTTTCCCCTTGATGTCTTGTCTTTGCTGAGCTGGTCTCTTTAGTGATATGGACCATTCTAGGAAGCAAGAAGTCAGAAAAGCAGGATAGAGCTCAACTAGACCAAGAAAACTTGGGCTGGGTCTTATCCACATTTCACTGAGCATGGCTACTCATGGAAGGCAGTTGGACAACTGGAAAAACTATGGCAGAGAATATGCCTTACCATCTCCTTCCATAGGCCCCTGTGTACCAAGTATGGTGGTTGGCTCTCCCACCACTTAGAGTGGCCTGTCTGGCATCAAACAGAACCTGGGCCTTTTCTCTGGCCCTGTGGAATAGGCTCTGAAGACATGGAGGAGAACTTCAGGAGGTGCTGCAAGGCCCTCTTGCTTGAGGGAGTTTGAATTGGCGGGCATTTTTTAAGGGAGGAGGAAGGAGAGAGATTTGGGGGTTGTTTTATTTTGGCTTTAACTGGAAATGTTTAACTACTATTGTAAGCTGCCTTGATCCATGGGGAAAGGTGGGGTATAAATGTTTTAATAAAAAAGAATACAAAAAAATGTGCAGAATTGTTTTTATCAATGCTTGCACAAAATACATCTGCTGGATGTAAAATACAATAAAATGTGCAGAATTGTTTTTACTAATGCTTGCACAAAATACATCTGCTGGATGCCTACAGTTGTTTACCCCAAGATTCTCCATCTCCTAAACCAAACAGGAACATAAAATTCTCAGAAGATTTCACTGCCCTCCCCAAGCCAGTGCCTAAAATTGTGGCTGCAAGCTGCTCCATACATTTTTAAACCCAAAGGCCAGATCAATATGCCATTCCTCTGGACTGAAATAAGGGCTTGTAAATATGTTCCCGTCTGATGTTGGGAAAGAATGAAAGGTCAAAGAAGACGGGGACGGCAAAGGATGAGATGGTTAGACAGTGTCATAGATGCAACGAACGTGAAATTGAGCCAACTTCAGAGGACGGCGGAAGACAGGAGGGCCTGGCGGGAGCTGGACCATGGGGTCGCGAAGAGCCGGACTCGACTGTCCGACTGAACAAATAATATGTTCCCGTCTGACTCTCCTTTACTGTGTCCAGTGGCAGCTCATACGTCTCCACAAGTGCTAACGGGAGAACAACCAGCTCTGTGGGAGCCAGATCAACTGCTTGCCACCAAGGGTTTCCTTGACTGAGGGACAACAGACTTACCAAAACTGAGGAGAACTGGGAACAGCTTACTGGCTGCAGTCTGTCAGTGCAACCTGAAGAGAGTTGCACTCTTCTAAGTCCATTCTTCTCTTCAACTGACTTCGTATTAACTGTTTAGGATCATGCTGCAAATCAACCAAACGTTAGGTCTCTATAACGAACAGCCTCCCCATCACTTGTGGCAAGACATGCATGAGGTGGGAAGGGACTTCCTTCTCCCTACCCTGAAATAAGTTATTTTCCCTGAAGATTCCAATCCACGCATCACTGCTTGTCTTTGTAGAAAAAGCCCAGCAGGAACTCATTAGCATAATAGGCCACACCCAGCAGCAGAAATGCATTAGCATATTAGGCCACACCCCCATGTTACCAGAAGTGTTGTCGTCCGGCCACATCCACCTTTTGCTGCTTATTCTGTTTACTTTGTTGTCAAAACCCTGGGCTTTTTTTGGTAGCAGGAACTCCTTTGCATGTTAGGCCACACATACCCTAATGAAGCCAATCCTAATGAGTTTCTGCTATTAGGTGTGGCCTATTATGCTAATGAGTCCCTGCTGGGCGTGGCCAACTCAGGAGCCAGCCGGAACTCCGTTCCTGTGCG